CACCCACACCCCCACACCCCACAGCCACAGCCACAGCCACACCCACACCCACGCTCACACCCCACACCCACGCACACGCACACCCTCACCCACACCCCCACACCCCACAGCCACAGCCACAGCCACACCCACACCCACGCTCACACCCCAGACCCACGCACACGCACACCCTCACCCCATCCACACCCACACACCCACATCCACACCCGACCTCTATGGAGAGTAGGGTGGTCCTCTCGCGGACTCACTCTTAAGAACTTACGGGTACTCCCTTAGTGTAAGGCTTGAGGACCTAAATCTACCCCTCTATAATAAAAGATGAGGACTCGAAGGTACCCCATTTGATATGACATGTGGCCTCCAGGGTACCCTCTATATTAGTACATGAGGACCCAAGCGTAGCCTCTAGGATAGGACTTGAGGATCGAAAGATACATCCTTAGTTTAAGATGTTAGAACGCAAGGGTATCCTCTATAGTAGCACTTGTGGCCTCAAGGATACTATTACCACCTACGGATAATGGTAACTTCCTACACCTACTTACCTCTAATATAACGATTTTAAAAGATTTTGAAAAATTTTGAAAGATTTCAAAAGATTTTAAAAGATTTTGAAAGATTTCAACAGATTTTAGAGATTTTAAATGCTAAAATCTGCTTTTGCGACACCCACCCACACCCACACCCACACCCACCCACACTCGCACCCACCCACACCCACACCCACCCACACCCATACCCACCCACACCCATACCCACCCACACCCATGCCCACCCACACCCACACCCACACCCACATCCAACCTTAGATGGGAACCGTAGCGGAACAGGTAGGTACACAGCTCGGATCCTGTTGACATGATATAATACTGAAAACTTACCCAGGAACCGGAGCGAAAACGGCTAACGTATCCGAAGATTCATTCCGGACCCACGAATTGACAGGAAATGAGCGGAAACCGGCAGTCGGAACCGGTTTCGGAATACTGCTTCCAGGAATGCACCGGAAATTCACAGGATACTGCCGCTTCCCGCCATACGTCTTTGACCTGGGAAGTCGGCACGCTGGTGAGAAGGATATTGTCGTTTTCGCAGGGAAAGCACAAGTCACCTCTTATCTATGTTCGTCATGTTGGGTTTTTCTTTATTACACTATTCAGTGTATTAGTCATTTTTCCCTCCTTGTCTCTCACGGTTTGTTATCGTATATAAAGCTATGCACATAAGCTAACGGTAACATTTGTTTTGACTGTTTCTCGGAATACAAAACTCGGTTAAGTAAGTCGTTTTCATGAATACAGAATGCGATAGTTGGCCCAAACTATTCAATGAAAAGTAGTTGCTCCAAGTTTCTTGGATCATTAAGGAATCATCAGCAAATATTACCCCGTAGAAATGGTGTCAGACATTCTCCCATGTGTACTGTAAACGTCTTTGTATAGAACTGAAATATTTGTGAGTTCGATGAAGAGCTAGGTCTATTGGCACTCGACGAGTGTATTTTGCCGAAAAATATTATTGGTAGAGAAGAATAGGCGCCCACTAGCTCTCAATGAGGCTTTCGAATTTCAACTTGCCGGAACAGATAAAAAGTTCAAACAAATAAGTTTTTTTTATATTGAAATATAATCGTCGTTAGGTGACTCATAAAGCGTTGCGAAAATTTTTACGACCGATGGAACTCTATTGACGAAAGTTGAGGGTGTGGGTGTGTATGTGGATGGCGTGCCTGTGGGTGTGGGCATGGGACTGGGTGTTGGATGTGGGTGTGGGTGCAGATTTATTCCTTGTATCCACATCAGCACTCACACCCACACCCACACTCACACCCATACCCACACCCACACTCACACCCACACCCACACCCACACCCAAAACTAGATAGGTTTGCAAAGTTGCATTCTAGCATATCCTATTAGAGGCTTTCGATACAGCCGTATTGGATAGACCTTTAACTTCAAAATCAACCAAATACCACTCTCATATTCAGCTTTCGATAGCGAATCAGAAAAAATCACTTTGCAAAAGCGTGCGCAATAAATATGAGGAAAGTTTGAATATTTTCTTAAAATGAGCCGTTTTTTCAATTTTTAGACCCTTCAAGTTTTTTCAATTTTTCTCACTTAAAAGATTGGCCAAAAACATTAAAAACCACATACTCGTGATCAGCTCGTCAAACCCTATCAAACGTCGTATAAATAAACATAAAATAAGATCTGCTCCAATTTCGAGCTTTTCCCACCTTGTTAAAATAAAAAAAAAAACAGAAAAAATCAGATCGCCAGTAAAAGTCGGAAAAGCGTCCAGATTTCAGATACTTTCCCTACTTTTCAGACAATCTGGCAATCCTGTTAGTGAGGCTCATTTCCTGAAAAACTACTATCCATTTCAATGAACAGTGCACTTCATTGTAAGTTGAACAACTCCGGCTAGGAAGCAGCTAGAGACCTTCGGGTTTCAGTTTTGGAAAGAACAGGATGAACTTTATATGGAAATATGAAAAAAGCGACGTCACACCGAGTTTCGGGGTCGTCTACCGATGAAACTTTAGCAATTCACCTAAGCGATGAAAATCCGTTTGATATTGAATTTTTTGACATAGGTTTGGTAAGGCAAATGATTGTCTAGTATTTGCCACCAATTCCAGATTTCTAGCTTTTACTGCTAGGGAGTTATGGCCGTTTTACTGAATTTTGGGTTTGTGGTAAGGGATTTCCGAAAAAATCAAATTAAAGAATTTCGGCCTGAAATTCTGCTCATAGATAGGTCTACTAGTCATTAGAATCGCCTGAAAGTTTCAGCAAAAACGAATTTTTCTTTCTCGAGATATTGAGTTTTCAAGAAATAATCACTTTTCACAAACAGGCAACAGAAATTGAATTTATTTGAAAATCACAGGTAGACGACCCCGAAACTCGGTGTGACGTCGCTTTTTTCATATTTCCATATAAAGTTGATCCTGCTCTTTCCAAAACTGAAAACCGAAGGTCTCTAGCTGCTTCCTAGCTGGAGTTATTTAACTTGCAACGGAGTGCACTGTTCATTGAAATGGATAGTAGTTCGGAGGGATCGACCAATGTCCACAATTGGAAGATGTCCATTTTAGTGATGTGTTCACATAGGAAAGTTTTACTGTAGATAAAGGATACAGAGAAAAGAGGTAAGGAGGAGCAGTGAGAGTTGATATCAATATCGGCACAGTGATCATTTTCACATTTTTGAGATCAATTATAAGAGTCACTTTGTTGCATTATCTCATAGAGATCGAATAATATGAGTCAAATACATATGAATTAGTTCGAAACACGATCTTAATGATGAAGATGGGGGCGACTGAGATGAGTAAGTGCGGTAAGAGTGAGCATGAAGTGCGGAGTGAGTAACAAAATCTGGATGAGGTTGAATGAAGATGAGAATTAAAGTAAGCGTGACAGGTAAATCAAATTCTTCCACTTTTACCCTGAACACTTTCGTACACCAATTCACACGCTACTAGAGACTTTATTTCATTGTTAAGAGAATTTTATCTTAAAGAGATGCAGTGAGTCGTCAACTACACACCAGATCATCGTGGTCTTATCGATGAATATTTCGCACCACTTTCCACAGTCGGACAGCAAGAGTGTCACGTGTCGCTTTGTGAATCTCCGGCTCTCAAGCATGGTCGAAATCTGTTCAAAATTTTCTCGGAGTATATTTGTAAGAACTCAAGATTCCGGGAGATTTTTCTAGAGCATCGACGGAATCCCTCTATCATTCTACTATTTTATTTCGAATGGATACGATTGCTGAACGAGAATTTCCATTCTTTCTTTTCGACAGCTTATCATACCTGAGAAAAACGGAATCCGTCTAAAGTTGATCAGAGTGACCTTCTATAAAAGCATTCATAAACAAGAATATGAAAAGTTATATTACTTCTCGATTGGCTTACATTTTTTATCTATGTGTGAATTTTGAAAATGCGACGCATTCTCCAACTCAAAATAGCAAAGAAAATATCCTTCTGTTTTAGAAAGTCTTCTGGAAAGCTTCATATTAATGAAAATTCATCATGTTTAAGTGGCTACGAGACAGTACGAAGCTTTTTACAGGTAGCAGTTCTGACGAAGAACTTGACGACTCAACTCATCAATACGTAAAAGTTCAGAATGATTTGAAAGAAGAAATAGAAAAATTAGGTCAGAAGTTTCCTCAAGATTTTCCAAAACCAATCGACATATTAGAAACTGTTGACGATACTATCGAAGGCCAATGGGAGCAACGACTACAACAGGCAGGTCAAGTTCAAATTGGAACACGCATTGCGCTTATTCCTTATTATTTGGGCGATCTTCATTGGACTGGAGTTTTCATCGAATTTAAAGAAACCGGACAAATTGAACGAGCCGAATTTATTGATCCAGTAGCTCCGGTGTTGCAGTCGGATTCTAATCTAATGAAGCTACGAGAGGAATTCGCTAAAGTTTATCCAGAAATTTTGTTACAATCCAGAGAACTTCAAGTGCACGAAGATGTTAAAAAGAGTGCAGAACTAACCGTTGCTAATTTACTTCAAGCCGCTGAAGAATGTCAGCTTACCATTGCAAGAAGTTCAAATGTTAACGACTCAAATGACAGCACATCGAATGATCTTGATGCAACGAATGGTGGAGCTAGTGAAGAATCGAATCCGCCGAACGCATTCGTTTTTGGAGGCGATCCCTCAGAAAAACAATCAAACAGCGAATCAGGACAGGTAAAAAATCAGAATGCCCCTGAGCCATCAGTGACAGTACCATCGACAAAACGAGCGAGCGATCCCAATAGTTCTATTCAAATCAAGCATGACGCACCTGACCCTGAAATCGATCCAGCGAACGTGCCCCAATTAGCGATCACAGAAGAGAACCTAAGAAACATGTATAAGGATTTCAACCGTTTACCATCATGTTCTGAAAGATTCATAGTTAGTCTAATGTGCTACATCTCTCTTAAACTAGCAGACGAAAACACTCTAGCAGGTTGTGGCATCGAAGTAACCGATCAATTAGTGAATGCAATCATGAAAGAATTTGAATGTTTAAAGGAATGTCTGACGATAGAAGAAGTGAACTCCGTAGCAATTGATACAGCATTAGATACATGTCAGATCCATTTAAAGAATGCGAATTGGAAAGCAGCTCTAGTTATAGTAAAGCAACTCTGGAAGCAGAGAAGTCCGTTAGATATGCCAGAATTGTTGAGACTTGTCGAAAAAGTTGATGATGCAGCAAAGCTAATCAAAGAAAAAGAGGTTATCCTTTTGATGGGAGGAACTGGAGTAGGTAAATCAACTACTATTCATTTTCTTGGCGGATCTAAAATGGTTGAAATAACAGTAAACGGCTTGAATCACATTGCACCTACTGAGATAAAAAATCCTGCCCTAAAAAATGTAAGAAGTGCACCATTTGCACAATCCATCACACGATATATAGAACCCGTGGAAGTGAAATTTGAAGATGTGGATGTATGTAAAAATGGCAGCATTATCCTATGCGATAGCCCCGGCTTCGAGGATACTAGTGGGGCTGAAGTTGATATCGCAAACGGAATTGGTATTGTCAAGGCGATAAAAGGATGCAAGAGTGTGAAACCGGTGGTTTTGATTAGTTTCAAGAGCATTGGTGATCGATGTGAAGGAGTAAAGGATTTAGCGCATGCTGTGGTAGGGTTGATTCCAGGAATACAGGATCACATGAAAAGTTTCTCCTATATATTTACGAAATTTCCTAGTAAAGAAAAATCTACCATTCATGCCGTGTTAAAGGACGTGAATAATCGACTGACGGAGGAAGAAAAATTGGATATAAGTTTCACGAATATCTTGAACGACATGTTTATGAAAACGAGAAGAAACCCACACATATTAGATCCCATTAACGATGATCCAGGAGAGATTCTCTATGAGCTCGCTAATTCAGTATCTATTGAACGTCCAGAGGAAGTTTTTCATTTTTCCATTACGGAAAAATCAAAAAGCGTCGTACGAGAGCAAGTGAGACAGCATCAGTTGAATATTATCTCGGGAACGAAACGTTCCGACTATCCCTTTGTACAATACAAACTCGATCAATTAAAAGAGTTGAATGATCTCCTGCACCAAGATGACATCGAACAAATCTTCTACGAATCTGTTCGATTTGTAAGTAAGCATCTCTCCGAGGAGTATCAAGCAGGTATTGCAGCGTTGGATCGCTGTCTAGTAGCACAAACGACTCTGAGCGATGCGGACATACAGCACTATTGTATCTGCATCCAGCATTCGAAGCTTGCAGAACCTTTAAGAAGGAAACACTTAGGTAAGGAAGTTGTTTGCAGTGATGCGTTTACCCACTATGTGAATCAGCAAATGGATACCATGTGCGTTGATCTGAAAGAAAAAGACATCGATGATCCATTAGTGAAAGTGAGTCTAGATAATATAAAACTTCTTTCAAAATATTTTCCAAGTGTCGATCACCGATACGAAAGTGCTTGTCGAGAGTTTGGGAAAAAATTGGATTGTGTTGTTACCTCGTTTCATGCATCCGTAAAATCGAATCAGTTTGCTGAGTGTGCCAGTTTCATGACAAAACTAAATGAGTCACGTAGTGTTCTAGAAGGCCGTATTGGTTGTCAAGATATAGAAGCGAAATATGAAAAGCTGAAAGCGTATTTTCTGGCATACCTCCAAGACTCCGTAACGAAGCTTGATGATACTTTTACCAAGGGCAAACTACTAGAAAATGATATACATAATTTAGATCATTGTGTATGCATGTTAAGATCCGCCATGCATACGTATACTCTTGAATTACATATCTCTGAGCAAGTTTTGTATCAAATGCATGAAACTCTATTATCTAAAATTGAAATCTATTTCAGAGGCGTAGTGAAAAGAATTGAGCTCGAAACGAAGAAGGAAAATGCATTCGCCGGCTTAGAGCATTATATGGCTGAACTAGATTCGATCAGAAAGATTTCTGATATCGAATTGCGAACAAGTGAAATATACTTTAGTACGCTAGAAAAACTGATCGGATACATCTATGAATCAAGAAGAAACACTGAACAACTTTTAAGCGATCTTTTTCGACGAGAGAAAAAAGTGGATTTTGATAAGCTGACCAAACATCTGATGAATCTGAAAAGTGCGGCGTGGGTAGAGAAATATCGAACTGATGTTTATTCCGATGTCATTGGTCAGATCGAGGGACAAATTCTCGAACATATCATCCAAATGAAAGAATCAGTGAAGGAAACCGATTTGGATCTAGATAATTTTGATAAAATTGACAATGCGCACAAAATTGTGTCCGAAATCAACGAAATGAAACATTTACAGAAGTTTGTCGCTAGTGTGAATGAACATCTCGATGAAGTCAATCAGTGGTTCATCGAGGCCACCGGCAAGGTATTCGTGATAGTGAAAGAAACGTTTGATACGAAAAAATGGCACGAACGACACTACCAGTCATTGGACTTTGATAACATTCACAAAGCATTGAAGTACTTGGACAGTTGCAGAGAAATTCGTATTCTATTTAAGAGTGATTTAACGTCGACACTGAACAGTTTGAAAGAATTCGTGCGATGTTTCAGTGGCTATGTCCAAACAGAGATGGAAGGCTGTTTTGATAGAATCAGAAAATATCAAGGAGAGAATCACGAGAAACTGTTGGAGGATACGCGAAGCTTAGCGCGGCGCCTACAGGAAATATCAGAGATAAAGACGAGATATGCACGTATTTTTGATTGTTTTTCCAATCAAGAGGAGATTCAGCAGTGGCCTAACAAATTATCCGAGCATGTCATTGAATTATCACACGAGATGGCATCGTTGAGTTCTACGAATAGAATTGACATTTTAAGTATCAAGCTAGCAATTGCGAAAGGTTTAAGTAAATTAGATAGCTTCTTGGAAGAGAAAAAGTACAATGATATCTCTCAGGACTACCAAAAAATATTTATCTCTCAAACAAGTAATGTCTGTAAACAAGTCATAGAAGCAATTACCAAACACGACTATCAAAAAGTTGCTTTCGAAATGGCGGCATTAAAATCAGCAGAACCAGTGGGAGAACATTTCTTTCAACAGGCTAGACGAGCAGTGAATATTGGTGTAAGTGATTTGATGGATGAAACTAAGAATATTACAATCTTGCTTGGAGATAACATGGAAAAAGAAATTCGATCCATCGTTGGCAACCTGAAATGCTTGCAAAAGGCGAAACAGTTTGTGTCCAACTTCCTTGATGCTTCTGAGGATATAGAGAAATGTATATCTGAAATCAAACAGCTAGTGGATGCAAAAATAAAGCGTTCCATAAAAAGTATCCGTGGTCTGATTACCGTCAATAACTTCTATGAAGCTGATAGAAGGATTGATTCAATCACGTTAGTACGCAGTTTACTCGGAAGTTTTTGTACGGAAGATCTTTCGAACGAGATCGAAGCTCTTACGAAGAGCCAAAACGACGTCGTGCTCACAGAAGTAGTAGAAAAATATTCGAAAATGGATATCAGTAGCTATAACTTAAACCCACCTAGCGATATCTTTGCAAAGTTCGGACAAGTGAACAACACAAATCCGATCTACCATCAGGCATATCATGCGATCAAAGAAGCGATTTTCAATAAGTTCAGACAAGAATTGAAGAAAGCACAATCCAAACAACCACCGAATCCGGATAATATCCATGTAAGAGAATTTGAATTTGCAGTCAAATATCTGCCATTGAGCATGAAGGAACATTTAGAAGCTGAATTGAAGCATTGTAAGGAGGATATCGAGCGATCTATTCTAGATAACAACACTAGGTTCGCAGATGCTTGTAATAGCAGTGATCTGAAGAGTATGAAAGCAATACTCAACGAATGCGAGACTAAAGATGACATGAGACCCTACTTGAACAAAAGTCGAGAATTTGTTTTGAGAAACGTTCAAGACTTTGTCGAAAAGATAAAGAAATCGTTTGAACAACAGGATATCACAGGAGCACTGCTAAATGTAAAAATACTACATAAGTACAAAGTGGAATTGGAAAATATTCTTCCGGATATTAGACAGCCGTGCAAAGAAGCAGCTGCTCAGATCGAGAATGTCTTTCAAGAGGCTTATATCTGTTGTCTCAACCGATTTCTGGAGAGTAGCACACCGATTGTTACCGACGATGTTGTTCAAGCGGTAGAGAAAAGTTTTCTCTGTTTAATGAAATTATTGAAATTCAGTAACCATAGTGAGCATAGGGACACAGCGATCGTGACGGACATGTTCCCAAAGAATTTTCAAGAAAAATTCAAACTGTTGAATGAGAACTTAGTACGCTATTTTACTGAGCATCAGAAACGATACGAAGAAGCGTTACGGAAACTCGATGTGATGGCTCTGAAAGATGTCTTGGACCTTGCTAAAGGATGGCTTCCTCTGATTACGAAAATGATTAGCTACCACGATCGGCATCAGATCAATGACGAGAAAATGCAAACAGTCGTGAAGGCAATGACCAAACTGACACGTTATCCAGAGATTTACGAATCAATTGCGAATCGACTTAAGGAATTAAGGGACGAGTTGTTCAGTCAACAACTGATCAATATAGAGACGAAACAATTCGAGAAACAAAGAGATGAGTTCTACAAAAAGCTGAACGAGAAAGTTACCGTTCTCAGCAAAGCCAAGCAATTAGGTAAACATGAAATCAACGGTGTGAATCAACTTAAACAGGAATCTTTGAAATCCATAGAATCAAAAATCATGAGTCTTTCGGCTACTGCTGAAGTAATTCTGGATAAATTTTTGCTGCAATCCACATTGGACAAACTGGATTGTGATACTTTCAACCTATACTATAGAAATATGATATCATTTGGCAAAGAAATGGAAGTAGGGCAATCTGAAAATAAAGCAAATATTGAAAAAATCCAGAAGAAAATTTTTGAGAGAATTGAAACTTGGAGAAAAGCGGCGCAGAATGGGGCCACACTGGATAGTTTTGTCAAAAATTTGATTAATATAAAACGATCTTCCAATTATTTTCCGACCTTCAAAAACTCCATTAACGACAGAATCGATGAAATGCTCGCTGAATTTAAAAATTCCAAAAAAGATTCAACAGCATTCTTAAAGTTAGGTGCACTTCTAAATCAAGATGAGACCGGATGTGGTCAAAGTATTGTTGGCGAGCATAAGGCCTTTCAAGGTTTTACGCTGTCTTTGTTCAATGAGAAAACTCAGAAGCATGGTATTGATTACGTCGTGAAAAATTTGACTGGTGATCTGGTCGATAGGAGTCTATTACAGAAAAGATACACTGAATTTCGTGACCTTTACGACACCTTAGTCAAACAGTATCTGAAGGCCGACATGAAATACGATGCATTGATCGCTGACACTAAACAATTGGCTGGGGATGTCAAACAGCGGTCAGACGCGATTGAGTGGGACGCAACAGTGAAGGGCAAGGTTCCTAAGCTAGCTGCGCATATTTTTGCCCTGTGGACACTTCAGAATGCTCACCATTACTTCGACGCAGATAGTGCAGACAATAAGAATAGTTATCTTCTGCAACCACATGCGGCGCAAGTCATCTCTATATTTCGTATGCTCGGTATTGGGGATGCGAAGGAAGTGTTGAATCACAACTTAGTACAAATAGGAACGGGCGAGGGAAAATCGATCACATTAGGAGTGACTGCTTCGATACTTGCATTGCTTGGCTTCGATGTATGCTGTGCCTGTTACAGTGAATATCTGAGCCAACGAGACTACACAGCATTTGTCAGTTTATTCGATTCGTTAGGTGTACTAAGCTATATTCGTTATGGTACTTTCAACAAACTATGTGAATATGTCATCAACGAGAATGGAAATATTCGTGACGTTGTTGAGCAACTCATTTCGAAGGGCTTGAACATCGCTGCGCAAAATGCCAAGAATATCAAACGTGCCAAAATACTCCTCATAGATGAAGTCGATGTTTTCTTCAGTCGAGATTTCTACGGTAATGTCTATACACCTTCGGCTAGCTTGCGAGATCCGACGATTGTATCGTTAGTGGATATGATTTGGGGGCAGAGAAAATCGAAGTTGAATCTAAACAAGGTCAAGGAAAAACAAGAGTACACAGATTGCTGTACCCGCTTTTCACAATGGGTAGCATTAATTGACGAGGCAATCAAAGACATGCTTTCTGACATGGCAAACTTTGAGTCGCATAGCTATATTGTGAAAGAGGATAAAATTGGATACATTGAACAGGATAATATTGTCTACAATGTGATCTATGGTTATCAGACTTTGTTTGCCTATTATTTGGAACATGAAAAGGGTCGCATAAGCACAGCTAGTCGAGACGAAAATATTTGCATACGCATCAAATGCGGTAGTTTTTCGTATGCTGAAACACCGTTGAAGTTTAAATACATCATGGGCGTGACAGGCACATTAGTCACTCTGAGTGAACCCGAAAAAGAAATCATCGAGAAAGTCTATAATATTAAAAAAAATACCGTGAGCCCATCTGTGTTTGGTCAAAATAATCTTCGATTTGTGAAAAAGGACGACATAAAAATTGAGACGAACGATGACTATTACAATGTCATCAGAAGAGAGATCGACGATAGATTGGCCGGCAGTCAGTTAGGAAAACGAGCTGTGTTGGTGTTTTTTGAAACAGAAAAAAAATTGAAGGAGTTTTACGAGTCGAAAGCCTTGGAATCAATCAAAGACTCAGTTGTCTATCTGACGGAAGAAGCGTCCGCCTCGGAGAAAGACAATTTGATCAAACGTGCAACTGGATCTGGTCAGATCACTTTGTTCACCCGAACATTTGGCAGAGGAACAGACTTTATATGCCATGATCCAGTTGTGTCCAAGAGTGGTGGTCTTCATGTGATTCAAACTTTTCTTTCCGAAGAGGTATCAGAGGAAGTACAGATCAAAGGAAGAACAGCACGACAGGGGGATTATGGATCTTATAGCATGATTTTACTGGATCATGACTTGGAGAAATTTCACATAGAAAAAGATCACATTGAAAGTGTAAAAATAGGAAAGAGTTTCACAAATCGTCTCGCAGGCGTGTTGACGTCTGCTAAGATCTATGATTCGATGTATGATTTTCTGAATGAGATGCGGACTATCTTCTTCAAGACGCAATATGCAGCGAACACAAAATACGTTGACCAAGCAAAAAAGCGGCATGAGTTCGGTCAACAGTTTCTGATACATCTTCAGAAAGGGAATACCGAATCAGTGAAAGCATCTCTAGTTCAAGAAAATAAAGGAGTAGAAAGTACATCGACTTCGCGGACTGTTTGTCTCATGGATGCCACTGGTTCCATGAGTCATCTGTTGCAGAAATGTAAGAACACCGTAGATATCATGTTCGAACGTGCTTCGGCCATTCTGAAAGAGAATGGTATTAGTGTAGATTCGTTTCAACTTCAATTTGTCGTCTACCGAAACTATTGTTGTCGCGAGAATATGATCCTTCAAAATTCTCCTTGGGAGACGAAGCCGGATAATTTGCGCGCCTTCATGAACACCATCAATGTTGCAGGAGGTTTGGGGAATGAAGCGATCGAAATCGGTCTATGGCATGCGAATGAAGAATATGCGAGAGAGGAGATTACCCAAGTGATTTTGATTGGCGATGCCGCTCCTAACACGCAGGCCGAAGTAACACAGCGGAGACAAATACAGACAGAAAACTACTGGGCTACTACTAGATTTTCTAAGCCAACCTATTATGCCATTGAGTTAGCTAAACTGGTCGCGCATAAAATTCCGGTCCATGCTTTTTTCGTAGCCAGTGCAGCGGAACAAAGTTTTAAAGACATTGCCAAACAAACAGGTGGAAGTTGCAAATCGTTAGATATAAATTCACCTGCAGGCTCGGAAATGCTGACCAATCTAGTAACTGAAGAGATTCTGAGAAACGTCGGCGGAAGTTCTCGAGGAGAAGCTCTGGTTAAAGCATACAAGGACAGATTCGCCAAAGCTTACACATAGAAACAGAGACTTCAGGTCAAATGAGTCGCTCATGATATTCTCTGTCGATTGGTATTTTCACTGATGATTTGAATCTGTCTATCATTCCCCTAAATCATTTTACTTTTGACACCCTTGTAATAGCTCATCCTTTTCTTGTTGATGTTGTGTGAATTTTGTTGAAATAAAACCAGTTGATTCCAACCTTTACCTACAAGAAAAAACGAGCTCAAACAAGTTTATTCAAGGTAGGAAGTTATTATCACGTACAGCAAGCTATAGACTTTCGCTCGCGCGAGATGATATGACCCGCGACGCTGATTTATGGAATATCTGCAAATCACAGAAAGGGGCGGGTGGGTGTGGCTGTGGCTGTGTGTATATGTATAAGTGATTCAGAAATGAATCTATCAAATAGCTAGCAAGTCCCGTTTCGATAAATGCTGAAATTAAACTTATCAATTGCGTTTTGATGTGAAAATATATCTCCTACTGCAAGTAGTATAGTTAGAAGTATCCGAAGAAACTTCCAAGCAGATATTACTTACATATTAATATATTATCGGTAACTTATTCGAAAATAAGTACCCAACAAAGTTTTTGAAGAGATGACTTCGTGAAGTGGGTGTGGCTGGGTGTGGGTGTGGGTGTGGATGTGGGTGTGGGTGTGTGTCTACTGGGCTCTTAGATTCACACTTGTTAGCTCTAAACGTTAGGGGATGTGACGAAAGAGCTGAACCTTCTTTTATATATATCAAAAATAGCATACATACATTGATGGATATGCAGCTAATAACGAAATATGAATATATATATATATATATATCTAAGATGATGATATGATGTATATAATCGCATATGTGTGTTGTAGAACAATAATAGCGACTCTGAGCGGAAGAACAGAAAATAACTATATATACAATAGAAAATGTATCACGTCAGCTGGACTATCCCACGAATGACGTAATAGGATGAAAACTTGAGAAACAAGGAACGAATATATAACCAAACAGATTAGCGTCGATTAGCGACACCTAATGACGCTAACAATACTGCACACCCACACCCACACCCACGTACACTTACACCCGCACCCACGCACCCACACCCACACCCACACCCACCCACACCCACACCCACACCCACACCCACACCCACACCCACACCCACATCCACAACCACACCCACACCCACACCCA